GATGTTATACAAGGCTACCCTGGTCTTTCTGTAGTACTTAGGTCCTGATTTTTATGATATCTTTTAACCCAATACCTACTAGTCCTCACTCACTAGTACTTCAGACTTAATGGAGATTGATAATCTTAATGTTGGTAAAATTGTTGAAGTTGTTTCTTCAAAGATTTATATTAATGATGATGATAATGATGATGACGATGGATAATTAGGTAAGATTTTTAATTGATTTAAACTGTGTGCGTTAAATTTTTCCATTAAGCTTTTGTATTATTTTATGAATAGAGATATCACCAACTACTAATATTGATAATCCCATCAAAATTGTATCTTCAGAGAATGATAACAATGAAGAACAAATAGGTAAGAATTAATATTTACTCTTAATTATACTTAAATGTTGGATTCTTCATTAAGTTTGTATCATTTTTAGATGCAATACTAAAAAATTATATTGATAAATCCATCAAAATTATATCTTCAGAAGACGATGAAAATGATGACAATGAGCAATACTTTAGAATTATTTTATTTATTTAATAATGATTTTATTTGTGCATCTATTCAACATCATTAACTTATGCTGGCAGAACCTTCATTTCTTTAGAAAATGCCTACAATAATGATGTTGAGCAAATAGGTAAAAATTAAAATGAATTTATATTTACGTGTTGAATTTTATTGAGAATTATTATTTTCATGAACAGATGCAATACCTATCAAAATTATGCTATTGAAGAGAAAATATGATAATAATAATGTTAAGCAAATAGGTAAAGCTTTATTGATATGATCAAATTTATTTGTTAAACCTGTCATTTAAACATTATATCATTTTTATGAATAGATATAACATCTTCGATATTAGAGAATGATAACGATTATGATGATGAGTAAATCAGCAAGATTTTATTGAGTTATTAAATTAAACAGATTTGCATTTATGTGATTTATTGTATCATTTTATGAATAGATATAATATTAATAATAAAAAATTATGATCTTGCGTAAGGTAAAATTATTGATGCTATTAATAATATTATTACAGAGTTTCTGTTAGTAATTTTTTTTATCTTTTGATAAATGTTATTTAGTGTAATTTAACATAGAAAATATAACATATATCAGTAATTTTATATTTTAAATCTTAAAATTAATATATATAAATTTCTTAAATTTTTATAATAAATTAAACATTTAAATAAAAAACTTTTTAATTTTACAAATAAACTAAATTTTATTTTATTTTAAAAAAAAACTTGATAATAAAATAATATCTCAACTATATATTACTAATAAAAATAATATTCATTTAATAATAATAAATTTAATAATAATATTGATAAAATAATGTTAAATTTAATAAAGAATATAATGATAATATTTAAGTTTTATTTAATTTAATAAATACTTTAAATTAGTATTTTTTTAAATTTGTATTAATTAAATCTAATCTGAATCTAGTAAATTAGATTTAAATCAATTTTATCAAATTTAAATTATATTTAAATAATTCAAATATATTTGATTTATTAAATTTAGATTAATACAGATTAAATTTGTTAGATTTAAATTTTTATTTGAATTTAATTTGAATTAAAACTAAAATTTTTTTTAATAATTTTTTAGACTTTTTTAAAGTTAAAAGATTCAAAAAATGATTTTTTAAATTTCTTTTAAAACTAATATTCATTTTTTAATAAAAAAAGATTTTTTAGATTTTTTTAAACTTAAAAAATTTATTTTTAATATAAAAAAAATATTTAGTATTTTTTTAAAATTAAGAAAAACTTATTTTTTAAATAAAGAAAATTTCAGATTTTTTTTAGAATTGAAATTTTTTTTTTAATAAAATGAAATTAATTTTAAATATGTTTAAAGTTAAAAATTTTCTTTTTAATAAAAAAAAAATTAGTTTTTAAATTTTTTTTTAAAATTGATATTTTTTTTTTAATAAAATAAGAATTTTTAATCTTTTTAAGCTAAAATAAAAAGAAAATAATTTTAAAAGTTTCTTTTAATATAAAAAAAAAAAAATTTAACTTTTTTTTAGATCTTTTTAAGCTGAATTATTTTTAATAAAAAAATTTTCAGATTTTTTTTAAATAAATAACTTTATATCATTGGTCAAAATAATCCAAATTGGCTAAAAATTAAATGGCTAATTTTAGGCTGATGTTGATACTATTTATGGCTGATTTGCTATATTTTCTAATTGACACAAACAGGTGCTGATAGATGTCGATCGACTCCAATCGGACATGGCCATTTAGCATCAATTTAGAACTTAAATTCAACCATAAATCAGCCTAAAATTGGTCTCAATTTAGCAATAATTCAGATGCTGATAGACGTTGATCAACTCCAATCAGATATAACCATTCAGAACTTAAATTTAACCATAAATTAGCCTAAAATTAACCTTAATTTAGCATTATTCAGCATTAATTCAGAATTTAAATAACATA